GGCCGAAATTGGGTCATGCAATATGAATGAAGATTATGTATTATAATGTGATGTTTTTCTAAATGATGCAAAACAAAGGGTAATGAAAAATCATTTTGTGTGTGAATTCATTCCTTTTAGAAATTAAAGGGGAGAAATACTTTGCTTCAGCATCTTATAAATTACATTTATTAATGTGGTTTCTACAGTTTTAAGTCTAGCATGTCAGAAAAATGGCAAAGCTGTAACATTTCTTCCTAATATGTTGTTTTACATGTTCAGGGGTTCATATTTAACAGAGGAAATTTTATTCATGTGAGTGCACACCTGCAGTTCTAAACACTAGGTACACAGTAAGTGCAAGATAACATAAGTGAGGAAACTCACACGCTGTAGCAAACACAAGTTTTCCATCACTTGGCAGACTCTGCACCAAAAATAGGAGACAAATGCTCTCATTTTATTTAGAATTACCAGCTAGAAGTAAGTTACATCCTTACTGCTAAGAGTAACGCAATGCCCATTGACAGGTTTGGGCTAAACCTGATAGAATTGTTAAATCAAATTTTGTATATGACAATAAGTAATTGTCAGGATCAGCACTGTAAAGAGAAGCAAAGCTTGAAAGTATACAGCTGAGGTGACTGGAACAGCTGTGAATGTAACCCTAGGATTGGTCATCTATGGGATAAAACTAGCAGACCAAGCATACACAATCTGTGGGTTGTTGAGGGTTGTTGTTGGTGATGCTGGTTGGTGCATTCGTGGAGAAGTGTCATCTTGTTCCTGTGCTGGAGAATCCTGGAGGAAGCCGTGTCTACGAGCTTGAAATTGAAGAGGAACTCTGGCTACCTGGATGGAACGTATGGTATATGACTACTGAACTTATTACTGGACATTGCCTCTATGCACTAAACTCTGTGGAAACTATTGTGCATTACTTTGGGACTGAAAACAAAGACCTAGCTGTAAATATACTTGTATATTCTGTAAATAATGCAACATCTGCTATCAGCACTACTCTGGTACTTGGTGTCTTCATCATCTCAGGGAAGATCTTTTGGTTATCACCCCCTGGTGTATACCTGTACTACCGCTACTCTGTCACCCATTCTGTCCTTGACTATGGAAACCCTATCCAAATTAGTTGGCATCCATTCCCTTAGAAAGTGGCATGCCATATAGCCAGCCTACACTAAAATAATAATTGTGTGCCATTAAGCCAATTTTGACTTCAGGTGATCTTTTTCAAAGTCATCTAAGTAGAGCATGGGTCGGAGAACAGGGGTAAATTACCCCAAATGGGGTAAAAGTGAAAATCCTGGGGGTAATGAGCTGGCTACTACCCCCCTCCCTCTGCAGCCAAGGCTTTGATTGTAAACCACCTTGCCCTGTTACTCCCTTCCTTGCAGCAGGGAGCTCCTAAATGCTCCGTTCTGTAAGAGAGATTGGAGAGATAAGCCTAATTGGATGCAGCTGGGGATTAGCCCCAGGCAATCAGCCAATCCGGGGCTTCTGAATGACTGCT